TGAAAATTTACCAGCAAAAACACCATGCAAACATCCAACAGAGACTACTCAGCAGTCTACTAAAGAAACAGCTCAATAGAACACTCCACCTAGCAATATCCAAGATAGTCCAGCAAAGAAAGTTAAAGCCAAGCAGGTCTGAAATTGCCTAATTTTGTACTTTTGTTAAGTCTTTTGTTAACTAGCTGAATGACTGCCTCCATTGCTTAGACAATCTTTTTTGAATTATGTTACGATCCGTTATTCTTTTCACTCAAGAAATAATAGATCCCAATATAACTATTAATAGTTTAGTTAGCAATGCAACACTTCCGTAAGCAATGAATCTTACTTAGAGCTGTTACTATGTAGTGGCTAGCACTGAAGTACATGTCCTGCTAAAACATGAATGGCTTGGTTAATGTAATCTATGGTTGTGATTTGCATATGATTTACCCTTTGAACTGACAAATACATTATGAAGTTTGAGCAAATTATCCTCATTATTACAGCAGATACAAACAACAAAAGAGTTAAATAGACAGCAAAAATTTTTTGGCCCACAATTTAATTATTGATATTACTGGGCAGGCCGGTGCTTGGCACGGCCAGACCCATGCTAGTATATATATATAATGTAAAAGGATAAATGTTGTTGAAGTAAAGGAATCTTTCACTTGGGGTGAAAAAAGGGAAAAGAAAGAAATCTTTTCCATCATACGGGCCCCAAGTTTGTGTGGGTTATGCTCCTGTAGTCCATGTTCAACATTTTAAGGACTATAGACAAAATGATCTTTAGCTTTCTGGAATACCACAAATTGAAGCCCAAAACAGATGGAAGACCCAATTTCTTCAAAACAGATGGAAGACACAATTTCATACGTACGTACTGAATGTAAGCAAAAACTACATATGGGTCAAAGTGGGCTTTCCAATATGGAGACTCGGACCCTGTCAGCAAATACCGATAGGACTGAACATTGAAGGAAGCTTGTGAACATTTTCTTGTACATAAAAAGAAGATGAATGTAACTGCATTGGTGGACTCTCGTAAAAGTCGATTCTACAATGGACTTCAACTCTTTTTTTTTTTTGTTGAGAGAGAACAATGGATTTCAACTTGTATTTTCTCTGTGGTTCTTTTATCTAGTTGCATCACTAAAATAGATGCAATAAATAAATTTACAAATAAGAATTCCCTGGAGTTAGAAATAAAAATGAAATGAAAATGAAGAAAAGAATCAGCACTAATCATCGTTCATATATATCATTGACGTTAAATTTTAGTTCTTAAATTGAAAATGAGCCATTTTAGTGTGTAGCATATAAAAACGCTACACATCACGTGATCAATAATAAATGAATAAACATGATAACTCACGTATTTCTTGACCCAATATGTCAACTATTCTCAATTGCAAAATGAAGAACCATCTCTTCTCCAGCTCAATCCCTACCCCTAATTTCTCCCAACTCTTCTCAAGTGTATAGAGATAGGACAACAGCATCTATTCTTGATATTAGTTGTCTTGTCTTAAATTTCTATCACATTCACTTAGTTAATCTTAATAGTTAGCCAAATCAGCTCTTGCTGCTTCAGTTTTGAAGTTTCCCTCGTCTTCAAGAAATGCAAAAAATCACCATTCAACACCTTCGAATCTACGTACTTCCCTGAATCTAGTGATCAAAAAAGCTGCCTTAAATTTGCAGTTTTTACGAATGTGTGTATGTTCGTGTACATAAATATGTATATCATGTATAGTTTTCATGGCCATAACTCAAAAAAAAAAAAAGATTTCATGACTATGAACAACAGATGAAACATCGAATCACATCATGGAAAACAAATGAAGCGCAGCTGAAACTTTCCATCATGTTCTTCAATTTGCTATCAATGAAACCAAGGAACATGTGTTGAATACCCAAGTTGCAAACGTGGCTCATTTTGAAACCAAGAGTTGAGTTCACAACAGCAAAATATGCCAAGGCATTGCATGGAAATGCTTGATCAGACCACCTATGAACTTGAACAAGCCATTGGTTTGGAATTTGCGAGCGTGTCACTTGACTTATGCCAAGAAAAAGAAAAGAAATAGAGAGTGCGCTGATGAAACCTAACTCCTAGATGATTGCTATTCGTCAGTCTTGAGAAACTTCCAAGGATTATGCATTAAAGTAACTGATCAAGAAAACAATGGGAAAGAAAGCTGATTAGAGTACTTCGTCATGAATGTAAAGATTCCTAAGAAAGCAGTTTTACAAAGAAGTCTTTTTTGGTGGAGACACCCTCTCCTCCTTTTTCTGATGCCTTTCTCGTGTTTATAGCTGATTGGGATGAAAACTGTTAAAACTCCACTATATGGCTTCATGGCCGATTTAACGGTCCACTTCTTCACTTCATGGACTCATCCCTAATCTAGTAGCCTGCTGCCAAGAAAACCCTTTGCCACATCAACCATATCAATTGGAACATGGGTCATAATAATCATCCATTTCCTTATCTCAGGGCAGGAATATATCCCATGGCCCTGATTTCTAAGACAATGCTCCGACGCACGCCCTCTAATAAACTAGCTTGCATGATCAGTTTCTTTCTTCCCATTTCATATCTGTACAACATACCGAAACATGCCGGAGCAAGTCCATAGCAATTACCCATCATCCTCTATCCATTGCCTTCAACCCTATGCAGTTGATGCCAGTGAATTCACGCCGACTGATATAACTAGTCGATATTCGTCCTGCTGATCGAACTGTGCAGCCATTCCCACTCGACGACGTTTATGTCAGTGCGGATATTGCATTCACCGATCCGTTATGAGTATGGTACCAACAACTACGTAGGTACCTCAAAATTCTCTTTAGTGCAACAATGATTAATGGGTAAATCTTTTATGCTAACAAATATTTGCGAATATAGACGCATGTCACACATGCAAAGTTTATTATTTAAATTTATGAAGTTATATGCATCTGAACTTGTTAATGTATTTATTAATAGTATAGAAACGATTAATCCTAAGTTAAAGGGTAAATTTTTTATGCACTTGTGGGTTTAGGTACATGCTACACATACAAAATCTAGTGTTTAAATTTAAATTAAATGATGTGACATGCATGTAGACCTATCAGGTTTAATTTTGGTCCCCTAATTCTATAAATGCTAATTTCATACTATGATAGTTTGTTGGACAAAGAAACAAATAAATTATTGGATAATTTTACAAATTGCTCCTAAGATTTTTGATAATTTGAAAAAACTCTCCTCTAATTTTAAAAATTACAAAAACCTCCCTTATTCTTATGGACTAGGTGACATGCATATAGACCTATCAGTTTCAATTTTGGTCCCCAAATTCTATAAATGCTAATTTCATACTATAATAGTTTGTTGGACAAAGAAACAAATACATTATGGGATAATTTTACATATTGCTCCTAAGATTTTTGATAATTTGAAAAAACTCTCCTTTAATTTTAAAAATTACAAAAAACCTCCCTTATTCTTATAGACTAGGTGACATGCATATAGACCCATCAGTTTCTATAAATACTAATTTCATACTATAATAGTTTGTTGGACAAAGAAACAAATAAATTATTGGATAATTTTACAAATTGCTCCTAAAATTTTTGATAATTTGAAAAAAATTTCCTGTAATTTTAAAAATTACAAAAACCTCCAATAATTAGGCCAACATACTTAAAATACCCTTTTTGTAGAATTTCAAAAGATATATAAAAAAAAGAGCTTCTTTTTCATCTGCTTTAACTTGTCTATCTATGGAACAATTTCCAACTTTCTTCCTTTAATCACTGCCAACATACTGTGAATTTTGGTGACTTTTTTTAGAAAACAAAAAGTTCAAATACAAATCCTATACGATTCTAGCAATTTTGACAGCTTAAGGATCCCTGGCCACAACCACTTCCTATTTTGTTAAATTGCCATGATATGCTTTCTAACCTACTCAGAAATTGCAACCATAACTGCCACTCAAGACATTAAAATTCAACCTTCATACTTTGATCAAAATCAAATATCCGTTGATTACACAATTTTTATATCATAAACCCTTCTACCACTTTATCTCTCTGTCCAATTTTCGAGTCTCCCTATCAAATTTGTAACAACCTTTTAAGAATCCAATTTCTAGAGGCCGAAAACATCTATTTTCCTTTAACTTTTGATCTGCAATAGCATCCAATTGTATCGGCCTATAAAAGCACAAAAAGAAAAAGAAAAAAAATTAAAACTACTTGAATCATAATAACAAAAATGGAGGGAAATGAAACAAGAAGAAAGGAAGGGAGCAACAGCAACAAACACCAACACTAAGAGGTGCAAAGTTAAAAGAACACCAAAATTTTGAGGAAGGAGTTAGCTATGGTAGGGAGTAGGAGAGGAGAGTCAAAAGAGGAAAAGAAAAAGAGGGGGACAAATTGATAATTTGGTCGTGAGGAAGGGTATAGGAGAAAAAGCAAGGTCAAGGTTTGGTTCTAGTTATTTCCATTCTTTTTTTTTCTTTCGACACATTTCCATTCTCATTCATTAATTTTCTTCTTTATTCGTTCATCTTTATTCTTTTTGTAGGAAGTATGCATGTAAATATTGTGAATCTATGAAGGGTACTAAAGTACTTTTGAACCATAAAGAGTGACACGTATAATTTTTTAAATTAGATGGGGGTTTCCTCAAATTATCAAAAGTGTCTAGACACCCAAAAAATTTATTAACTTTCACACCCAATAGCGTCTTGACACTTGCCTTAACAGGTAATTTCCTTTTTACCCCATTGACCCCATAGAATTAAATCCTCCAACCAATCCCACTGCCCGCAATTAGCCGGAATAAAATTACATTCCAGCCCCGGTCTATCCACAGCTCAACCGCGTGCTAGTTAGTCAATCACCTAAACCTAACCCCGGTTAAGGGCATCGAGTTCTTAACAAAACCAATTAACAAAAATTAAAACCAAAAAATTAAACAAAACCACGGGCAGTTTCATTTCCCCCAGAACCCCCAACCCCCTCCCGATATTTTCAGAATCTGATAGCTTCAGACCCCTGCCCAAACTGCCCGCAAGATCACGGGCAGCACTCTCAGTAACACTGACATCCAAACACTCCCTTACCACTATGGCTCCTTCATCATCATCTCATTCCTTCTCACAGCTGCTGCTTCTCAATCATCTCTTTTTTACCCTTTGATTTTTTATATCTATAGCTTCACCTATACATACGTCCATCTCTCGCCCTCTGATTTCTCTCTCTGCTTCATCCGACGGTCCACAATGAACGCCGCCTCTCTTCTCTGTTTCCCCTGGCTTTAGCTCTCCAATCTCTCAGATCTGCTGCATCCAACCTCAGATCTACTCTTCTGGTAAGTTTTCCATCCATCTCCAGCCTCCTCTTCACTTTTATTCTCATCTTTGCAGTATTTCTGCCAATTCTCCTGACTTTTTCTTCCTTTTTTACGAATTTTCATGGGGAAAATTTAGATTCGCTATTATTTTGATATTGATTTTCTATTTCTGCAGCTTAAAGTAGTTTTTTGTCCTTTTTCACTGCTTCATCACTGTTTTTATGATTTGACTAAAACAGTTTTGTTTCTCCCTGTTCTTCTGGGGTTGAAAAATACTAAAAATATGTTTTTTTGAAGGAAAATCGGACGGTTGAGGGTGAAGGAAGTGTAGATCTAACGGTTACCGTGATTCGCGTGCAGGTTTAATTTTTCGCACTGTAGCGTACTGAAGAAATGGAAATATTAGCTAGTAGTTTTGACGAAACGATGACGTTTAACGTCGTTAATCCGGGTGTGCTAACGTGCGCCGGGGAAGCAGTGGTTTTATTAGCTGCAGCTGTTGTCTCGGCTTTGGTCAAAACTTCCCTCGTTGTTCTCACGCAGGTAAATTACACTGCGTTGACTTTGTTAATCTGTTTTTTTTTTTTTAATTTTCTTTTGGGCGATTTTTAAAGTGCTGTTTTATTTTATTTTGTTTTTTGTAGTTTAGCAGCTGTATCTCTGCAGCAAGTATTTTGCTCCAAAAAAGAAAAGAAAAGAAAAGGAAAAAGATCTGCTGCACGTGGAAATTTTTTTTAGTTGGGAATTTACTTTGTGAATTCTTTAGTGTTTTCCTTTTTCTTAGAATAAAATTAGATCTTTTTGATATCCTTGTTTTTTTTTATAATATCTTATTGCTTCAATTCTTTTTTTTGTTTTAGTTGTGGGTATTTTAGTCTAGACGGCAGACTTTTCCACTATTAAGGCTTATGACTTTTGTCATGGTAAACTTCGAAGGTTTTTTGTTTTTCCTCAATTTTTTGTCCTTTTTGTGGGAGGAATAGCCCATTAATCTTTTTGTGTATAACGTATAGCCCTTGTTGTTTTGATCCGATAAAAATTTGTTTTCGTTTTTTTGTCTGAAGGTGCAAATTTTTAATAGGCTACGAGTTAACATGAAACAAATCTTTTTTTCCCTTTATTTTTAACATTTTGGCTTCAAATGGTGACAAAACAATAGTAAAAGATAAAGGGAATTTACTCTACGAGGACATTCTTGTGATGTTATCAAAGAAAGGATATGTAGTCCAGCTTTTTGAGATTTTAGAATGAGATTCTCAAATGTGAGGCTACAATTTTTTTTTTTTAATTTCGGTTTCAATTGAAATGGGGCATATGGAAATAAATATGATTTATGTTGTGTTAATGGTTAGACCAAAGATGGTTGGGAGCTTGGAGTATTGGACAATGGTGTTGTGATACTCCCTAGTAGGCCCTATTCGTTTTGCTTATGAAACAATCTTGTTTTGTCGTTTCTTTTATACTAGAACGAGTCAAAAGTAGTTTTAGTGGGTGCCAAGACATGGAATATTCTCCTTGTTGGTGAAAGTTAAAAATACCACAATACACTTCCCACGTGTTCAGCAATAAAGGTATTGCAAGGTTTAAGCTGATTTCTTGTTGGGAGAAGGGTGGTTGAGAATTTAACTGCTGTGTTTGTTGATGAATCTACCCATTTGAATTGGAGGGTATATTTTGTATCTTTGTTTCTTACGATCGAGACTTGATCCGATGTAAGTCGACCATGTTTGGAAATTTATCGTTGTATTGATCTGTTTAACAGGAGTACCTCAATCTGCTAAGAAACAAGCCCAAAATGAGAGGAGACACTGAAACCTACTGCCCATGCAAGCAACTTGATGCAGAGGGGGGCGATGGTGAGGATGACGACGATGATGATGAGGATGACGGTGAAGGTGAGGAGGACTTGTCGTCTGAAGATGGGGATGATTTTGGCAGCAACCCCAACAATAACAAGAGCAATCCTAAGAAGGGTCCAGGTGCAGGAGGAGGATCAGGTGGGGCGGAAGAGAATGGTGAGGATGATGATGATGATGACGACGATGATGGCGAAGATGACCAAGATGAAGACGACGACGACGACGATGATGACGACGGTGGTGATGAAGAAGAAGATGGTGGTGAAGAAGGTGAAGAGGAAGTTGTCGAGGAAGAGGACGAGGAAGAGGAAGACGATGAAGAGGAAGAAGCTCTGCAGCCCCCAAAGAAGAGAAAGAAGTGAATCTGAAGAAAGAATAATCCATTCTCCTTGTATCCATATGTGACTTATTTGCCAACTCCTCGGCTCATACTGGGAGGACCAGGTCTATCTAGGATAAATGTTATCTTGCAATTAAATTTCCATAGAACGGTTAGAGTACTTTGTATGACTGCAACTGTGGCAAATTTGAAGAGTGCATAAATTTGGCAGTTTAACAGTTGACCGATTTAAAAAAAACAATAAACGTCCAAGGTCAATTGCTAATGTTTCAACCTACTTATTTATAGTTGGCCTCATAGCTCAATCAAGTATTGGAAACCAATTCAAACCTAAGAAAAACTTGAATGTTCACAAATAGTGACATGAAACTCACTTAAATCGCTCACTAAATATGCAAAAGCAAAGCACCAAATCGACGGGAAGAGATAGCCGCGCATTTGGTTCTTAAACCAGGACAAAAGGAGCCTAGAGAAAAATTAACTTCAGGCTTCCCATCCAAGTCCATTGCTGTAATCTTAATTGGAAATCACCTACTTCTTAGAGTAAATGTGCACCCCCCCCCCCCTTCTTTCTTCCAACAACCAAAAACACCAATAAAAAACCACCAAAAAGCTGTGTCTGCCAAGGATCCCTGATTAGATTAACTAAAAGTGGGAAAAAATATTCTTTACACATTCTTTCAATCCAGCACAGCAGGAGTTTCATATGCACAATTCTGCTTTACACAAGGCAACCAAGTCACAAAATAATATACACATTGTATGGTGGTTTTTGACTCCATAAACAAGCAACCACTGATAAACATTGGTAACACAGCAAAGATTGGACATAGCCAGGCAACTGAAAACACACTCCATATAGCCAACTCATTTATTTATGTATTACTTCCACTTGGTTTGACATCCTTTTGCCACAAAACATCATCTACAAAATGCAAAAGCAGCATCTTATAATTAAAATTTTGCAGCAGCTCTCCTACAGCCATTACTTTATCAAGGACACAGATAGAGCAATGGATCACATTAAATCACCCCTCACACCCCTACTATCATCTACAGATTGAACATTTTAGTAGCTATTATCCTTTCTTGTTGACGGACTTGCCTTGCACTAAAGTTAACTTAGACAAATTAAAGGAAAAATAAATATTTAAGAAAAACGACAAAACTAAAACATAATAGGAAATAAAAAGGTAATAAAAAATGTATCTTATGAAAAAGAATGACTGCACCCAACACTTGCCATGAATCATAATAAAAAATTATACCAACAGGGAAAACAAATTCTTGCTTCAACTTAACCACCTAAAAGGAAATTCCAATGGTGCAGAGTACCTTGGGGAAATTCAGCAAATAGCACAAAAGTCTTGAGAACATGTACATCAGAAGATGTACATAAAAAGCCCTTCTTTCTAAGAGAAGATAAGATATTTCTTATCATCAAAAAAGAAAACAAAAATACAATTCTGTTTCCAAGCAAAAATATATATAAAATAAAATAATAAGTGGGGATGATGCGGCACCTAATTGAGTAGATATCCTAAAATAAGAGTAACCAACCCAAATTCAAAGTAATAAATCCAGCCAGGTGCCTATGCTGAAGTCAACTGAGTAATGTTCCGTGAATTTAAGAAAAATTTCCATATAAGATATGAAAGGCCTGCCTGGAATGGTTATGAGGGTGCAAGCACAAACGGCTTACTCTAAACAGTTTAAAAGCACCTAATTTAAGCTATTCTAAGCTAAAAGCTTTTTGAGATATTCTAGACCATCTTTCACTTCGCTTTTAGCCTATTTTAAAATGAAAAAAAAAGAGTTGATTTTGAGGAAGTAGCCCTTTGATGCTTCTGATAAGCTTTACCTTTTCAAAGAAGTTAAAACAAAGACACACTATCTAATTTCAACCAATTTTAATATAGAGTTTCAAAAAGCAAAAGCTATTGAGACCAAATCATATGTTAAAAAGAAATTTGACCATATTTTTAGCCGAACATACTAACAGTAGAAGATACTTTTGGTGCTTCAGCAGGTTGTTAATTTCCCCAAAACAGCTGCAAAAAGAACTGAGACACTGACAGATGCTTGGCACAAACCTAATCAAAATCTGAAGATTTAATTCTGCTTTCGCCAAGTTCACCTCAAGGATAATTTACTAAATTAGCTAAATGAGCCAAGCTCAAGTACACCAATACTCGGCTGATGAGCTCATTGAGCTTAATCAAGCATGGAATATATTCAATTTTTATTCCCTATATTTTAATCTAATGTGGGTAGTTACCACATAACCAATGTAAGAGAAGATATTTACACTTAGCTAGAACCAGCTTGAGTGCTATCAAACATGTGAATTGAGCATGAGCTCTTTCTTAGCTCAACCCAATCAAATTAGAGAGCTTAATCTTTAGCCAGTTCAAGCTCAATAAGCCAGATACTGGATTTGACACCATCTTACTTCTGTTTTCCAAATTGAACTACTACTGAAACAGAAAGTTTGTAACGATGCTAATAAAACAAAGGTTTGTAGAGTAAAATCAGAACCTAACACATATATGAAAACTCGGTCGAAAAACCAACAAAAAAATTAACAAAAAGAAAAGGAAAAACAGAATAAAAATATTGAGAATATGAGAAAAATCAAAGAAAAAAGTAATGATAAACTGCCAAAAATAATTGAAATAGAAAATAGCAAAAATTACCACAAGAGAAAAGTTAAAAGATCATTGAAATCCCACAAAGATGTATCAAAACTTTTTGTCATGTAGCGAAAAACCAATAACAAGTCCCTTAGAAGTTTTGCCAAGTGATCCAATTTATGGGTTTCAGAAAGTAGCAAAACGTAAAGGGCATGATTTTCTTTTCATTTCTGCAAACCACTTAGACATCTCCAAGAGCATCGTCTTTCTCGTCAATGGCAAGTTGTAATTTATCTGCAACATGGAGACAAAGTTTGTAACAACAGAAAACAACATAAAGTAAAAACTACTCACCTCCAAAAACAGCAATTCCAAAATAATCAGTACAAACTAGCATCAAACAATTAAATACCAAAAATACCATGTAGTAAACTAGCAAAGAACTCCACAATATGTAAAACACAATAATTAAGGTATCTGTGATAGTTGTCTATTAACTGAGAAATACAATTTCTTTTACAAAAAATTGTAAGCTCCAAATTTTCTTGTTGAGTGCTCAAGAAAGCAGCTGGCTTGTAGCAACTGAGTGCAAACACAATCATATAGTGTATATTTCTTTGAAACACAGAACAGCAGGAAAATCCTCAGGAATTATCCAAATTGCCATCATTCAAGTTATCATGCCTGATCATGTCTCGGCTCGGAAGATATGAATTCATATACAGTGCATACATTTTCTGTGTCAGAAGAAGATGAGATCCTAGTCCACCAACTATACATATATCTGTCTTTTTTTTTTTAAAGTTTTTTTGATGTGTCACTTACATCATTGACATATACAGTTGAATGGGACCTGGAAGAAAAGAAAGGAAGAGAAAAGACAGCTGGGTTTTCCTCTGCTTGAGAGATTTTTTAGGGAAGAAGAGAGTTCAAAGGAACAGATTTCGAAGGATGAACTTGGCCACCACAGTTTCAAAAACTCTCTCCAAATTGGAGAGAATTGAAGAAAAAGCAAAAAGAAGCCTGTTATAAGTTTTCAAAATGCGATATATCCTTGAAATACTATAGATTAAAACTTTATTAACATATATATCCTAAGACTTACCATTTGTTTGTTAGACACCCAAACAAGATAGAAATCTATCTTCTTTTCTCTCATAACTTAAGCTTTCTCTTCTCTCCTAAACTGCCAAAGTAACTGATATAGATGCAAACTACAACTTTAAATATGGGTTAAGTATAAGGTATTATCTCATAATGAAGCATTCCACGCTTAACTATAAGTACACTTGTGTCATCTGTGGTTTGGTTCAGAGGCGTGCATGTCTTAATTAACAAAAAAATCTTATATCCAAATGAAGACGTTCTATAGCCATATGAAATATGCCCATAACTAAGTTCATCTATTGCAAAACGTCACACCTACAAACAAATGCTAGCATCACATTATAGAGGCAATAGATTTCATGGATCAACAAGGAAAAATTGTCCATACACAGTACATAAAAGGAAAACTAGCAAAACAATTGACTACACAAGTAAATAAATGGAAGTCAGAGTTGTTCATACCACTAATACCACTAAAGACTCCCTCAAGTCCCTGATGCTGGAGGTGCTGATGATTTCTGCCCAATTGGTGTATTAGGATATGCATAATGCATACCCTGTATCATCGGCCCACTTGACCCAGCACTAGCACCACCATAAGCCCCTAAATTTGTAGTGGTGCTGCCACCACTTCCTAAACTATCAAAACCATAATTTCCCATGACCCCATTATATCCTCCCACCCCCATCCCCATCCCCATTCCCATTCCAATCCCTCCTTGTCCTAAAACCGCGATTGGACTTGCATTCATCAACCCTGAAGTAGCTGGACTTGGGTTCGCTAACAAGCTATTATACAACGGATAAGCACTCAACAAACCCAAATCCACATTAACATTTGGACTCTGCCCTAGCAATGCCATGTTCTGCGGCCCCATGGCAGCATACATAGGTGGAATAGGCTGATAACCAGTGGTAATTCCAGCAGCCCCACCATGAATCTTTTTCCCCTCAGCTGCCTTCTGGCAATGCAATTCGCGCCCCTCAAACACCTTATACGGTTCCTCTAACGCATTTTTCGCCCCTTCCACATTCCTGTACACAAACAAAGCGTACCCTTTAAACTTCCCTGTTTGCACATCAAATCCCATTGGGCCACTTTCGATCTCCCCAAACTTGGCAAAAAATGCCCTCAATCTCTCAGCGCTCACATCACTCTGCACATTACTCACATAAATCTTCCTCCCACTCAAATTCCCATTTCCCTCCAGCTGCCCCGAGGTCGATGGGGGCCCTAAAGAAGCCAACTGCCAGACCACAAGTCGATTATTGAGCACCATGTTGGGCTGTTTCAGTGCTTTCAAAGCCGATTTTCGAGTTTTAAACGTAACAAAAGCATACCCTTTTGCTTTTCCAGTAGCCTTATCAAGAACAACATTGGAACTCTCAATTTCTCCAAAATTCTGAAATGCTGAAATTAGGGTTTCGTTCGTGGTATCCCAGGATAGACCGTGGATGAAAATTTTCCGATGGGAAACGTCCTTATCTGCAAATTCACAGATTTTCGCGAAAAAGGTCGAGCTAGAAAGCGCAGCATCGGTGAGCAGATCAATCAATTGGTCTTTCGAGAATGGTTCCAGGAGTTTTTGGACTTTCTCGGATTCGGATTCGGAGTCTGAAGATGAGGAGGAAGGAGATTTGACCTTCGATTTGGATTTGGATTCCGACTTCTGGTTTATGAGCTTTTTCTTCTTTTTCTTGAGCATTTTGTCGGGTGGGTTTGGATTTAGGTTGGAGGAATGGTGGGGCTTTACTTTCTTCTGCTTCTTCACTTTAGTCGTCTTTGCCATTACAGAGATTTGATTGTCGCACCAAAAAGGATGGAAGTTTTGTGGTGGGCGACGGCACCCCCGCGCCAATATGATGTACAAAATCGTTCAACACTTTGTACAACCACAATGCCATCGTACGCATTTGTTCAGGGTACATACATTTAGAATTCAACGACACGTGTAAATAGTAATTAATTCAAATAATATTATTCTATTCAAGCTAGGGCTGCAAAACAAGTTCTATGATATTCAGATTTGAGGCCGAGTTTGAACTCAATTTTTACACTAAAAACACATTGAGTTCGAGCCGCAAGGGGTTAATGGGGCAGGGGATGGGGCAAAGCGAGGGGTTAATGAGGCCTGTAATAATATAAAATATCAAAAACATTCTCATTTTTTTTTTTCAAGTGTAAGCAAGAGGTCTCGAACCCGAAAGTAGTAGAATGTAAGCCATTGTTTTTCTTTTGCAAATCCAAGTTTCAAGAGCCCAACAGTAGAATGGGAAACCGTATATAATAGTTGCATAAATGGTAACATGGGTAGAGTAGAGGCATGAACAATTAATCTTCACAACTTCTTAGTGTCCGACGCTATCCATGTTCCACTTGCGCACTAATAGTAGTTGTAGTAAATGGTAATGTTTAAACTTCAATCACTTCATCGCGATGGATTAGTAGTAATATTCAATAAGGAGAACTCGGTGGCTTGCGAGTTCCGTAATTTCAACAACTAAACCTATCAAAATTGACCAAACTTTTACTCTAATTGGCTCCTAAGCATGAAAAGCTGGGTAGCAAACAGAAAATACGGAAAATTTGGAGAAAAGTTCGTAGCCTTACATGCCATTGTGCGAAGGAGTCGAATGCTTGCGTTCCTTTTGCCCAAGCTCTCTCTGGTGACGTTAAATCTGATAAAAATTATTAGAAGTTTAATCCCTATTAGACTAGTTGAAGTAGTTCATGTCTGGCACGTTTGAGGCAAAAACGTCAGGTTGGATTGTGATTTTTCACAAATTTTTTTTTTTACGTTTTTCGTAAACGCATTTCCAATAATCTTTTCATCTCATATATATCAAATCATTACAGTAAATTTTTCTTCTATATTAAATTCTAAAAATAGCAATCCAACCGGAGGAAGAACACGAGTATTGCTATTTTGATGTTTCGAGTATCATCTTTTCAGAAAACATAATATCAGTGGGAAAATGTGCCCGTTTTGCTAGAAGTTCACGGAGAACCGAATAGAACCATGGGGTTTTCTTGCTGCTCCACTAAAGATTCGGTGGCCTCTTGAGGACTCTCAAGGAAACTATACTGCAGTCTCCTAAGATAATGTACGTCGTAATTTTATCACAACGTCTGGGTGGTGTAGTCGGTTATCACGCTAGTCTCACACACTAGAGGTCCCCGGTTCGAACCCGGGCTCAGACATGCGGATTGATCTGTAGTAGATGTTTAATTAAATTTTTTTTTTTTATTCAACAATTATACAATCCAAGTTTAGTACTTAGTCGGGCGTTAAGCTTACCTCTTGTTTCATTGGCTTCCACTCCAAACCATTTTTTCCAAATTGCCTTATCAAGACTGGTGTCTGAATCTAATTCAAACAAAAATAATCGTCTTTCTACCTGCCCTTTCTTTTTCTTTTTCTTTTTCTTTTTTAATAAATGGAGTACTCCTTTTTCTCTTGTTGATGTTGCAGTTGTTCTGCAGTTTGATGAATGAAGACATCCCAAATTGGAATTATGCAACTTTCGCCTTACAAAGTATGAGGACAAAAATATTGGGATTCACTAATTTTCGATCCCATCAGAAAGCAAAGGTTATCCTTACACTATAAAACCAAAAGGCAAGATTCGTTTCTTATTGACTCCCTTTATTCCAAACCTAGAAAAAAGGAAAATCCCATTGGCTCCCACTTTCATTTCTTTGCAGTAGAAAGCAATGCCAATGGTAAACAAATGCATTTTAATTACTAACAGAAGTCTACCAATGTAAAGTCTCAAACCTCGTGGGTGCAACTAGTGGAATCTTCACTCTCATTTTGAGATCAAAGATCTTTTTTTTTTTGGGGCAAGAAGAACTTGGTTGATGCTTTGCTTGTGTTGTAGGACAAAGTTTATAAAGGAGTTTGTAACATATTTTTTTTTTTTTTTTTTTGTCGAACGGCAATGCTCGAAAGCACTTGATAATACAAGACTTAATTACTACAAAATAAGGCAACTACCCTCATATCAACTTGTGTACAATCACTAAACCATGCTAGGATGTTAGAGTCCTTTTTTTTCAGTCTATTTTAGTGTACAACACTGCACTGTAGTTCTTGAAATGTTTGTTTCATTATGTCGAAGCGCATTTTTTCTTTCTCTTTCCTCGTTTCTTTCCCCCTTCTCAAGATGGAGCCTGGAGGGATCTATTCTCATATTTTCTACTTGAGTCATCACGTACACCTTCTTTAAGTGGACAGCAAATTAGTGATAGATTGGACTACCACTAATCCAATAATCAACTATTCTCTGGGATCAAACTAATTAAGAACCCAAGCGTCATTTCACATGACAAGTTCGCTTATCCTAGCCTTACCATGGGGTAAATTTATCCTCAAGGATAGCCCTTATGAATACTTAGCTTTGCTTCAAATGCGTGTCGTGTGTTTGAAAAGGAAAAACTTAAAGCACGTTATTTGTATGGATTGCCATTTTTTTTTAAAAAAAAAAACTGTTTTTGTTTTTGAAGTTTACATTAACAATTCTAAAAGACAACTCCAAGAAAACAAACAATTTCAAACACGACTTATCAAAAAGAAAATAAAAATAAATCCTACCTCATTTTTATCTTCCTCTTCCTTTTCTTTTCCTTCCTTCCTTCTCCCTCTCCTCCGCAACTCCTTCCACCCCCACCGGTCTAATCACGGAAGAGAGGAGGGGAAGGAAGAGGGATGAGGAAGGAGGAAGGAGGGGGAGAAGAAAGGAGGAGAGTGGAAGAGGTGGTGGCGGCGACCGATGATGATAGATGGGTGGTGGTAAATAAGTGATGGTAGTGGTAGTGATTAATTTTTAAAAAATACTTCAAAAAAATTTTAATTCTAAAAATATCACAAAATACATTGTCAAAGGCACTTTGAAAGCACACCGATAAAAACACCTAACTATTTATAGTAAAAAATTTTTACACACATTATTATAGTAAAAATTTTTAAAACTATTCCAAAAAAACACGTAATTCATACGAAGCCACCTAACTATCTATAATGATCATTGAGTGCAAACTCTCAATCTAGTAATGGACAAAATATGCAGAAGATCTGACACACTTCATTTTCTAATAAACAAGCCAATTGAAATCTATTATCATTTAATTTCAAATATTTACAAAAATGTGTAATAACTTGTTGAGTACATGAGTTTGAATATTTGATAACCCAATGAGTATTTGAAATGAAATAATCGAGTGTCGTTTTGTATTAATTTTATTTGATAATGGAATTTACTTACAACTGAACACATTAACCGTCACTAAATAAGTATAGTAACATTCACTCAATAATATATTGCTTCATGCATATACTCACACAGTCACACACGTTTATTTGATAACGCTAGATTTTAGTTTTTAATTCTACCAAATGCCCATTACTCTGGCACTGGTAAAAATGAATTATAATACGTGAAAGTTATTGGAAACTAAAGTGGTAAAATTATTGGAATCGAAATTTAATAACTACTACTAATTTGTTTGCGATAGTTATATAGTGTAAATCCTAACTTATATGAAGATAAAATTGGTATAATATAATGCGACAAAAAAAAATTTAACACCAAAAGTTATGTCTCATACTTTAAATATAGAAAGAAATAGCTCACAAAATAAGCAAGGTGATTTTTTTGGGTGAATATCTAATGACAAAAGTTCATGTTTTTTTTTTTAAAAAAGAAAGTCTATCTTATCTTTTTTTTCCCCTCTGTGGTAACTATGTGTATTAATGCACCATATGACCCCTCCAGGATTGACCAATGAGTAGTAATAATTTTGTCATCTCCAACACCTATTCTAAAAGGGAAAATCTACTCTAAGGAACAACCCAAACTAAACTCAGACGTGTAATTTTTAGTTACTCTTTACAGGTGAAATACTGAAACCTTCCATAACATTAAATAATACAGGTCATGGAATGTACATAGGAGTACATGGAAATAGAAGTCCAAGTCCATCTCTGGAAGCCCACTATTATAGACCTCTTTTTTTTTTTTTTTGCTTGCAACGATAGAGGGGGACTTGAAAAGGTCAGAGAGAAATCGAAAGAGATAAAACTATCTACCGGTCCAGACGAGTGCGTTCAGAGAGAAATCGAAAGAGATGGAACCGCCTATCGGGCCAGCACACTCGTTCGGTGGCCACTTAAAGTGACCTGCCACATTTTAGTGATAAATGATGGGAGGCAGAGTTTGAATCCTGACCTCCTATCCCACCAAACCTCGAAGTTTTGGTGGTTATTATAGACCTCTATTAGGTACTACCAAAATTGTCAATTTCCCATAAAAGTTGTCTCCTCTCTTTCTAAATTCCTAGCTATTAAAATCCAAGGGAGCCTGTAGGTGGTTCAATCCTAGCTATTAAAATCTGTGGCTCGACGGTGACGGTGGTTCACTCTCCGTTAATTATTTTAAGTTCAATTGGACTCTTTTTTAGAATATAATAAAGTAGGAGTAAAAGTAGTTATAGAGTACTTTCGCATCTAAACCACAAGACTTAAAAAAAAAAAAAAAATCTTCAGTCAAGAGAAAGATATTGAGAGAAAGAAAAGATATTCAGAGGAATAAAAATAATTGCACCTCTCTCAATCAATAGGGAGGTGTATAAAATTAATTTCTGTATGGAGAGAGAGAGAGAGGGGTAGGGCTAGAAAGAGATGAATTTGGCAAGGAGGGTTTTTCTTCAATTTTTTGCCAGTTGTATTTCATCTGAATAATCAATAGAAAAATTGATCATTAGCCTTTTGTTTATCCCTCTTCCCTCTTTCTTATATAGATAATAATAAGTAAATATTGAATTTAATACACCCGGGAAGGGAAAAGTAAAAGGAAGAAATGGGTGATCAGCAG